TCCTCATCTCTTTTTTTATGCCCTTTTTCAAGGGCTCTTCGATTTGGCTCTTTATCATTTAGGTCTGATTACTTAAATAATAGTAATTGTGTTCAAGTCCTTAAGGACTTTACTCAGTGTCTTATATGAGATTTGGAGACTGACATTTAAAAAAGAATGGTTCCGTTGATTAACATCATCTGGAAATTAAGGAATGATGTTATTCATTGGGGAACTAAGCTAAATCTATACAGATCTATACATGTGTACTTGGAATGATTTGGATCCTCATGCTGCTGAAAAGAAAGCTCCTGATACAAATCTCCCAAACATCCAAGTAGAGGAATTTCACCATCATAATGAAGGATGGAGTATCATCTGCTGAAAGAATAAGAGAAAACTACATACAGTTCTGGATATCTTGATCTTTCATGAAAGGCGACAACTTGTTCTACTTACTTGGTCAAAACGTAGATCTGTAAATTTTGAATTCTTTGAAGCATATTGTCTCCATTTTCGTTTACTCTGGATTGCAGCCATATCTTCTGGGGACAGTGAAGCTTGAACTCATGATATTTATTTTTTTTGGCTGACTTTTTTCTTTAGCACTGATCTAATTGAAGTTTATTCTTTATCAGCGATTAAGAAGGATATCTGTACTCTTCTAATTAACTTTAGACGAGTCTATAGATTTCTTCTTAGGAACATCAGTTGGCAAGTGGATAAATGTCTACCGTTTTTTTTTTTTTTGGCCTTTTAATATGCACTTACAAAAAGTATCGAGGATAGAGTACTATAATAAACAAGGTCCTTCTATACCTTATCCTCTTCCTTATCCTGATCAAAGTAATAATAACAGATCAAAATGGCATAAATATCTCAATGTCAGTATGTCACCTAATATAATTAATAATTATATCACATTCCTTGAATAGTACATTAAATGTGGGCCTTCAATTGGTCAAAATAAATATGGACTTTTATGAGTTTAGTGAATCCGATGAAACCCAGCCCAAGATTTGGTCACTTGCTCAACAATTGCCGTACTTCTCTTCACAAAATTATTCTCCTTTAATTTTATTATACACAAGTCCAGTTTTTGACAGGTAATTTGCTTCTCATACATTTTTTTTTATTGTTCAAAGGTATTGTTCTAACTCTGCCTATGTTTATAGTCGGTCCCAAGCTCGGGTAAAGCAGGAGGGTTGTGTTGGGCCATCAACAGCCAATGTAAAAATTTATTGAATCTATCATGAACATGGACAATAGACGTTATAATATTAATACTAGGTCGTTGCCCATAAGTAACGCGCTGCATGGCTCGAGTACAGTGATAAGTGAGTTAGAGCCGCTGCATCGGCGCCCGGATGTAGTGTTAAATGAGCAAGGGCTACCGCGTCATTCTGGACGTGCGCAGCTAAAGAGGTTAGTCCATGAGAGCAAAATTAGATTTGATACTTGGAATGTTGGGACATTGAATTGTAAATCTGTAGAGGTTGTAAGGGTTATGATTCAAAGAAAAATTAATATCCTTTGCTTGCAAGAAACAAAATGGCGTGGAGAAGAAGCTAAGGATATTCAATGCTTTCAAACTTTGGTATACAGGAAAAGTAAGCGCACACAATGGAGTAGGCATCATTATGGATAAGAAGTGAAAGAAGAATGTTATAGAAGTTAGTAGAACTGGAGACAGAATTATTTCCTTAAAAATGATAATTAGACGTGAGACTGTTAATATTATTAGCGCTTATGCGTCACAAGTCGGGACAGAAGCCAGTCTGAAGGAATTATTTTGGGAGGATTTGGAGGGGTTGATTCGACACATACCACAGAGTGAAAAGATTTTTATTGGAGGAGACTTTAATGGGCATGTTGGGAGGAAGGCTGGTCAGTATACGAAGGTGCATGGTGGTCTTGGTTTTGGAGAGCTAAACAATGAAGGACAAACTCTTCTTAATTTCTCATTGGCATATGATTTTAAGATTGCCAACACTTGTTTCAAGAAGAGAGATGAGCATCTCATCACTTACAAAAGTGGAGCCTCAATGTCACAAATTGATTTTATTTTGGTTAGGAACACAGATAGAAGACTTTGTAAAAATTGTAAGGTGATCCCTGGAGATGCTGTAACGACACAACATAGGGTCCTAGTCCTTGATGTGTGTATTATGAGTAAAATTCAAAAGCGTCGACAAGTAGTAGCACCAAGGATTAAGTAGTGGCAATTAAAAGGTGAGAAGCAAGATATTTTCAAGTGAAATCTTTTGGACAAAGGAATTTGGGAATCTCAGGGAAGTGCTAACATCATATGGGAGGATATGGTTAAAAAGATACGGGAGGTTGCAAAAGTAATTTTGAAAGAACCAAAAGATTCTGATCCGAGAGATAAGGAGTCTTGGTGGTGGAATAATAGTTTACAGGACAAAATCAAGTATAAAAAGCACTGTTTTAAAACCATACATTTATGTAATAATGAAAAAAATTGGGAGAAGTACCGTATGGCTAAGAAGGAAACTAAGAGAGCTGTGGGTGAAGCTCGTTCTAAAGTTTTTGAAGAATTTTATAAGAGCCTTGAGACGAAGGAAGGAGAACAAAACATTTATAAGATTGCCAAGAGTAGGGAAAGAAAATCAAGGGATCTAGAACAGGTAAGGTGTATTAAGGATGAAGAGGGAAGAATTTTAGTTACAGATGATGAAATTAAAAATAGATAGGAGACTTACTTTTTCAAACTTTTCAATGATAGCGAGGGTTCATCTAGTAACTTGGAGGATTTAGTAACTGGTGAAGGAGAACAAAATTTGTCATTCTATCAAATAATATGTGATAAGGAGGTAAAGGAAGCACTTAAGAAAATGGCAAATGGCAAAGCCAATGGACCTGATTGTATATCTATCGAAGCGTGGAAATGTTTAGGTGAAGAAGGGGTGAGAAGGTTAACTAAGTTATTTAATGTGATCTTACGGTCCAAGAAAATGCCTGATGAGTGGAGGAGCAGTACATTAATTCCTATTTATAAAAATAAAGGAGATATTCAAAATTGTACTAACTATAGAGGGATTAAACTCATGAGCCACACAATGAAATTGTAGAAGAAAGTAATTGAGCACAGGTTGAGATTAGAGACAAGTATTTCTGAGAATCAGTTTGGTTTTATGCCAGGTAGATCAACTACAGAGGCGATTTATCTATTAAGGGAATTAATGGAAAAGTATCGTTGTAAAAATAAAGATTTACACATGATTTTTATTGATTTGAAAAAAGCTTATGACCGTATACCAAGAGAAGTGCTTTGAAAAGCGTTGGAAAAAAGGGAGTACGGATTGCTTATATTAAAGCCATACAAGATATGTATGAGGGGGTAAAAACTAGTATAAGAACGCCTAGTGATCAAATAAAGGATTTTCCTATAAAGGTTGGACTACATTAGGGATCATCTCTGAGTCCTTATCTGTTCAACTTGATCTTAAATGTTTTGACGGAACATATTCAAGGGAAAATTCCCAAATGTATGCTTTTCACAAATGATATAGTTCTTATAGCAGAGATAAGAGAAGAGGTTAATTGCAAACTTGAATTATGGAGGAGGACATTGGAGTCGAAAGGTTTCCGTCTGAGTAGGAGTAAGACGGAATATTTATATTGTAAATTTGATAAGAGACTATTCGACAATAATTTGGAAGTGAAATTGGGAGATCAAATTATACCTCAAGTGGAAAAGTTTAGATATTTGGGAGCCATTATTCAAAATGATGGCGAAATCAGTGGAGATATTTCACATAGGATTCAAGTTGGGTGGTTTAATTGGAGAAAAGCTAAAGGAATTATTTGCGACCGTAAGGTGCCTAATAAACTTAAAGGAAAGTTTTATCGCACTGCTATCAGACCGGCAATGTTATATAGTAGTGAATGCTGGGCTCTAACGGGACAGCAAGAGCATAAAGTTGGAGTAGCAAAGATGAGAATGTTATGATGGATGTGCGGACATACACGTAAAGATAAAATTCGAAATGAGCACGTACGCGAAAAAGTGAGGGTAGCACCTATTGAGGAAAAAATGGTAGAAAATCGGTTGAGATGGTTTGGGCATGTACAAAGAAGACCAAGGGAGGCACCAGTGAGAAGAGTGGAACATATAACTTTGAGTCCGATTAAAAGAGGTAGAGGAAAGCCTAAGAGAACACTCTTGAAAGTTGTTGAACACGATCTCTTAATTAATAATATTTCTAAAAACTTGATAAATAATAGAGCACAATAGCGTCTTGCAATCCATATAGCCAATCCCACCTAGTGGGATAAAGGCATATTGTTGTTGTTGTTGTTCAAAGGTATTGTTCTATCAAAAACAATCACAATTGAAATGTGATTGTTATTAAATATAAACACGTCTTTCAATAAGAGTTTGATTGATGATTAGTTTATTACTTCCCACTTTAGAATGCAGGAATGTTTTGATTTCTGATAGGTTCTAATCTTCTTCCATCTGCACAGCTTTTTGCTCCATCCTTATATTGAACAAAAAAATATGTTATCCAAATACCTCATTGAGAAATCAATTGAATTGGAATAAAAACTTTCAAAAATTGAATGAAGCAATGAAGCGACTAGCGAGACTATTTAAAAAAAAAAATTGACCAGAAAAGGAATATAACAATAATAAACACAATAATTAGTAGCCACCTCAATCATAAATTCATAATTCACGGGCAAAAAAAAATAGAGTACAGGCAACTATTTTCCTCGTAATTCCACGTTGTATCTCAGTCATTGTCGGCTGCCACTCTCTACGCACCTTCAAAAGCACGAGTCCTTTCCATATCTATCGCGCCAGGTGTCACTCTCTCCCTTCTTCAGCCTCAATCGGAAAGAATCTACGAAGCAGCCTTTCCCTCATTTTCATGATTCAAACTTTGAGGCTCCATAGTCAACGAATCCTGTGTCGACGCGTGTCACCCTCGTCCCCTTGCTATAAGTACGAACCCCACGTCCACATCTCTGGCAAAACGAAACAAACAGATAGATCCAATTTCCAAACACAAAATCCAGCGTCACGCTTTTCGTTTTTGTCTTCTTCCTTGTTAAAGTTTCGATCTTCTTTGTTTTCTTTCTCATGATCCGAGAATCAAATGAGTCTGATCGCCGGCTTCTGACCTTCCCGGCGGTTCATCCTTGTGAAGGAATTTCTCTTCCTACACTTTTCACTTCTCTATTCACTATCTCCAGTAGGATTTGCAGTTTCAAATCCAAAGTTTTCTCCAGTAACAAGAAAAATGCCAGAAAAGCCATTCGTATGATTGAGGTTCTTCAGATTTTTCTGGAAGAGATCCTAGACCAGAGATGGGGTGTTCCGGATTCTGTAATCCTGAGCTTGTCGGAGCTCCATTTGACTTTCCAGAAGCTTCAGTTCCTCCTTGAAGACTGCACTCGTGAAGGCTCTCGGCTGTATATGCTTATGGAATCGAATCGGGTCGCGACCCATTTTCAAGTCCTATCTAGATCCGTAGTCACGGCTCTGGATGTCTTCCCTTTTAGTTCCACAGAAATTTCAGAAGAAGTGAAAGAGCAGGTTGAATTGATACTGAAACAAGCACGAGTGGGCGACTTTGAAGTTGAGCTCGAAGACAAACGAGCAATGATGGGTGTTCTATCAATTTTGAATCAATTTGAAAACACGATCATCCCAAGTGAGAGTAATCTCAGATGGATTCTTGATCATATTGGGGTTCGTAGATGGAGTGAGTGTAACAAAGAAATCAAGTTTTTGGATGCAGAAGTTGGGTATGAGCGAATGAAGGAAGACAAAGGAAAGCTTGCGGTTCTGAGTAGTTTAATGTGGTTCATGTGCTACTGCAGATGCGTGGTGATCGAGGTTGTCGATAATGGAGAAGATTACCCGAAATCTGATTGTGGCAAAGAAAGGGAGATTCTGAATTGGTGCTTCAACCCAGGTGATTTTCTATGTCCAATCTCTCTGGAAGTCATGAATGATCCAGTGACGATCGAGACGGGTCATACTTATGATCGCTCTTCGATTCTCAAATGGTTCGGCAGTGGAAGCCTCATCTGCCCCAAGACAGGGAAAAGCCTTAGCAGCATCGAACTGCTCCCAAATTTGGTGCTTCGCAGGTTGATTCATCGATACTGTTCTAAAAACGGCATTCCCATGGCTGATATAGGTCGGAGGACCCGTGATCGTGATAACAAAGCAACTTCTCAGCCTGGAAGTTTTGCAGCTCAAGAAGCCATGAAAATGCTGGCAAGTTTTCTCTGTGGCAAACTTCATAACGAAGCAGAGGTTGAGAGAAACAGAGCTGCTTACGAGATTCGGGTTCTTGCCAAAAGAAACATCTTCAATAGGTCTTGTTTTGTGGAATCTGGTACAATACCATATCTGTTAAGATGGTTGTCGTCGAGGAATCCAACAACCCAAGAAAATGCCATAGCAGCTCTTCTGAACCTCTCGAAACATCCCAAGAGTAGAAGTATTATGGTTCAGAATGGGGGTTTGGAATTGATTGTGAGTGTTTGTAAGAAAGGAATGAAGTTAGAATCTCGCGATCATGCTGCAGCTACATTGTATTACCTCGCTTCAGATGAGGAGAATCGAAGATTGATAGGAGAGGAACCAGAAGCAATCCCATCTTTGATCAATCTTCTCAAAGATGGCTCTGACAGGGGCAAAAAGAATGGCTTGGTTGCTATATTTGGCCTCCTCTTTCACCCTGAAAATCACAAGAGGGTGCTTGAAGCTAAGGCAATCCCGTTATTGGTTAGCATCTTAAAGACCTGTCAAAGAGAAGAGCTAGTAACAGATTCACTAGCAGTTCTGGCAACTCTAGCAGAGAAAAGTGCTGGAGCAATGGCAATCCTTCAAAATGGAGCTTTGCATCCAACCATTGAAATTTTGAATTCTTCTTCAACTTCAAGAGTTGGGAAGGAGCAATGTGCGTCTTTGTTGCTTTCTCTGTCAGTAAACGGAGGGGCAAATGTGGTTGCTCTTCTGGTGAAAATTCCTTCTCTCATGGGATCCTTATATTCCCTACTCAGTGAAGGCACATCTAGAGCAAGCAAGAAGGCCAGTGCTCTCATCAGGGTTCTCCATGATTTTTGTGAAAGGAGGCCCTCTGGATTCAAGACTCCAGTTCTTCCACAAGAACAATTTGTTCACGTTTGGTAATAACCCAGTTTGCTCATTTTTATCTGCACTGGGTATTTTCTTTCATTTGTTTCTGTATATGAGTTTGTAGATACAATTGCAATAAGTGTGCTTCTGATTCATGATATGAGCTCGTGTTTTGAAGAGCTAATATCTGTATCAGCATCAGCTTCTGTTTTTTATTATGAAGCTTGCACAGAGTTATTACAATCCATTTGTTTATCAAATAAGACTGTATTGTGTCTTGTAATTTACCAATGCAATTTATAATAAGATTGAGATTCTTTCTTTATTCTTGTCTCCACAAAAAAGAAAAAAAAAAGAAAATCTTACTCACACAGTGAAAGATGTGAATGATTTAGCTTGTGATGTGATTTCCAATGCCTTCTCTATGCTGCGTAACACTTGCTCCATAGATGGCCTTTGCTGCTTGAGTCCTATGCATGACACGGCTAGCTTTAGTGTGAGGCTAAATGCTTCTCCAGAGTACTCCCCTCTGAGTTTAGGATCAGCAAACTCTGATATATCTCCACCTCTAGCAAAATTTCTAGCCTAAAACACAAAGTCACATAAAAATAGGAGTTAGATGATGGTTATCACTAGTCATCAAAATGGGCCATACCCCTAGTAGGATTGGCCAAGGCCAACCCTGCACAGTGAGATGAGACAACGCGTTTCTTGGATATTTAGAACAAGAGTTTTTGGAGCTATTTTACTTTAACAACCCTTCCGTCAACTTTGATAGCTCTAGTAATCATTATATATGTAAGCCTTGACTTACATTACACACACACACGCACACATTTACAATAGTATTGATAATTAGGTTCTCACCATTTTATCTAGGGACATTGGTCTCTGAAAATTGAAGTTAAGGACCTTCTGTCCTGAAAGTAATTGCAGTAATACGATTCCAAAACTGTAGACATCTCCTGAGGCTTTTACATGGCGGTTTTTCCTGTATTCAGGATCGATGTAACCTAATGTTCCTCTCACCTCAGAGCTCACAAATGATTGGTCCAGTTCCATTACCTTGGACAATCCAAAGTCTGAAAGCTTTGCTTGCATGTTGGTGTCAATCAGAATGTTTGATGGCTGGGAATACCACAAATATCACAGGAGATCAAAGACAGGCAATGGATGAAGATTAATGGAGAGAGAGAAAGCAGATACGTGTTTTCACCTTAATGTCTCGGTGAATAATGCAGCCACCTGGATAGGTATGGAGAAACATTAGACCTCTTGCACAATCAACTGCAATTTTCAGTCTTTGAATCCACGAAAGAACTTTATCTTTGTCTGTCATAGAGTAATTATATGTAAGAGAATTTACATGGAAAGAGGGTTCGAAGAATCTCCATGGATAAACGGGAAAAAAGGGATACCATATAGCCAATCCGAGAGGTTTCCTTCATGACACAGCTCATACACCAGGAAGCATTCACCTTCAGTTTCACAGTATCCAACCAAAGATACCAAGTTTGGATGTCTGACATGGGAAAGGCTTCTCACTTCTCTAACAAATGTCTCTAAATACGCTTCACTGATGATATGCTTGACAGCTACATGCTGACCGTTCGAAAGTATGCCTTTGTACACTTTTCCTGTTATAACCTCAAAACAGTTCAATTTATATGAAAGGTTTTGGATTAAGGGGTTTATTTCATTTGGATTTTCTTGATTATTTTGAAACTATTGAGAGAATCAATATCGATGCTGTATATTTATATAGAATAAAAACCAACATTCCTATAGCTTTCCTGCTTTCATTAATTTGAGTGTTTTTTTTTTTTTTTTTTGGAATTCCTGACATCCATAATATGCTGCAGAGGCAAAACCAAATCAGTTGATGATGATAATGTCTACATGCTCAAACATGCCATAGTTGTAATATAGTCAATCGATACCAAATTAACAATACCCCAAAGGGTAAAATTCCACATGAAAGCAGAAAATAGTCTAGCATCTTGCTCGTAGCTGATGCTAACATGGTTTATCCCTATTAAGTTTTAACTCCTAGTCATTAGCCGGTCTATATCGGTTTATATGTTATCTTGTAGATTTTGTCTGAGTCTTCTCTTTTGGTTTTTTTTTTTTTTTGGGTGCTGTTTTGAGCTATTAAACCGTAATAAACAGAAATCAGAGAACACATTTCAAGAAATGAGGCTTGTTCTTACCAGCTGTGCCTTGACCAATGAAATTTGATGCATCAAGATTGTTGGTCGCTATATAAACTTCCTTCATAGTTTTCTTAAGAGATCTTGAATCCTCTGCCTCTAAATAATTAAACGCATTCAAGTAAGACAAAATATAAATATACAGATGTTCTGGACCATAAAAAATTGTAAAGGCCCTATTTCTATATCACCTTCTTTTTTTGTTGGAGGACTTCTAGTTCTTCTTCCATTCAAGGCCCATGCTGCAAGAAACCCTATCACTGTGATTCCAATTAAGCCAAAGGGTAAAATCCAGAGACCTGCTGCCATCATAGTTTCCACAACTTCATTATGCCTTAAAAGTGATTCAAACGGTTGAAGATGGACTAGAAAAACCTTAATATATTCCTTTCCTCGTGGCAAGAATATAATATGGGAAGATTTGCAGAGAACTGGAAATGAACTGCCTACCTGGGATGAGCTTAGAATTGCCACCAGTTTTGCCTTCTTGCTTTTCTGTAACGGTCAGTGGATTCAACAAGCGAATTACTTCAAGTTCCACAGGATTTACCCCAAAAAATGTGAAGTAAAATCATGAAGTCAAGGAAAATTAACTCGCCAATTTTCATAATTGATGACCTGAGGGGAAAAAAAAAAAAGGGAAATTTACTTTTCTCTAGACCTCACCAGCTGAGGGGCTGTAGGTTCCAAGACATTCATAAACTGCCTGAATTGACTCCCTATCATGAATGCTTGTAAGTGAGATTAGTACTGCAAACCTACAGAGATTAGCATCAAAATCTGCTGACTCTGACTCCTTTTTACTGTCCGATGTTGCACTAATCTCCTCCCACCTTCTTAGACATGCTGTACAAGTCTCATTTGCTCTTCCATTCTTGCTTAAAGGCATACAATCTTCATCTAATCTTCTCAAGTTGTCCCCAAGTTTGTCCATGACATCTGTGATAGAGAATTCAGAGCAACCACCAGCTCCAGTGCTTAGCTTCTCCACTCCACATCCTTTAATATTCTTCGCAAACACATTCGATGCCAAACAAGTTTCTTGCTCTGAGGAATTCAAGTATATTTTTCCAGTTTCGTTGGCATGCGTCCCTAAAGCATAAATGTAACCGTTAAAATCCAATCCACAACAGCTATTTATAAACCCTCCCCAATTGTGCAATTCACAATCAGAGCTATTATTATTCAAGGATGTAGAAGACTGAATGTCAAGGATGCAATCAGGAGCAGAAGTTTGAGAACACGCTTGATCAAGGGTGATGCACAAAAGAAGTAATATGAAGGAGTTTTTCCTTTGAAACTTCATTGTATCAGAGCCAGAAAAGGTAATATGAGACCAGATATAGCTGCAGGCGTTTGAATGTTGAAAGTAACTGGTTGATCATGCTATGTGGTAAACATATCACTGTCATGCTAATTGTTGATGAATCCAATATAGAGAAATATGATGCCAAGTCTTCTTTGTCACTTTGCTAAAAATAAGGAAATGGTGGGAATTACGTGTATGACTTTTAGAATTTTATTTTGGAATTATGATTAGTATTGTCCTCTGACTTCATCAATCTTAACGGAAATGCATGGTTATTCATATGGACTAGTGCATTTCACTAATTTCAGCACATAAAGAATTTTTTTTTTTTTTTTTGGTTGCCAATTAAGTCAAGCCCCTTGCATGAATAATTGTCTTAGGGGACATATTTGATGCAAAGAGAGAGATCTAGAAGTGAAGATTCCATGGCAATTTTCATACAAACAGACACACAAAATAGGCTGAAGGGAAAGAATGAAATTCTCTTGGAGTCATTTGGCTTAAAGGGACAGTTTGGCAAATGGCTGAAGAGCAATTATACTATACACCTCTCTCTCTCTATAGTTGTTTGATCCTTTTTGGCAAAATATGAATATTGTTCCCAGTTCAACTCTGCCGCTTTAAATGAAAGTGACCTACACTAACCAATTCATATAATATATTACACCCCTGAAGTAAGGACAAGTGCCGTATTGCCTCTGATTCAGCATAAAGTAAGTATGAAAAGGTCAAGCAAAAACCAGTACGGATTTAATTTAACCCTAATGCATTAAATTAAATGATGAAATTAGTCATAGATGTTAAGATGTGTACCTCATTGTCCGTCTCATGGTTCGAGCAAAAATCTTTTCTTCCATCATTTGGTAAGAAAACAACGTGTATGACTTTAGAAAATAATTTGAGATATGACTCGGTCTATAACTAACGTCTTGAAATTGAAGTGACTAGCATTTTACGAGGAATTCCTCGGACAAACCCAAGTTGTTAAAGCCTTTTGTTTTTAATTCTTTTAGCTAATTTCAATTTTGCCTTCGAAAAATAAGTTTTCCAAGCAACATAACATTCCAAAACACTTTTTTTTTAACTCTTACTATTGTGAGACTGAACAGTGAAAGAGTAAAAATAAAAATATAAAGAGTAATCTCTTGTATTTATTTATTTTTAATATTTAAAAAATTAAAACAAATAATTATTGGAACATTAACCTTGTGCTTGGCTCGTAGAGGAAATTAGGAAAAAGAGAAAATGAAGAGAAAAGAAAAGTAAAGAGATGTAATTTTCTCTCATTATATTTGGCTAAACGAAAAAAAAAAGGAGAGAGAAAAGCTATTAATTTTATATGGACAATAACAATCTTATTATTTATAAAAATATTTATATAATAAAATTTAATATTTCAACATATTATATATATATATATATAATTTTAACATATATTATTGACTAAACAAAAGCATAATTAAAAATTATTTTATCCAATGCTGACAAAAAAAATATTTTAACCAATTCAAAATTTTATTTATTAAATTATTAAATGTATAATAATTTAATGAATATATAATAATTTAATTGAAAATTAACCTAAAAATTTAGAATTAGCATTTGTCCAATTAGTCTAAAAATTAAATATACAGTTTGCTTAACAAAAGTTTATGATTAAAATGTAACTACACTACAAATATCATGATAAAAATAGAGAGAAGTAAGAGCCAGCAATAAAAAAAATTAGTGGATAAATTTGAAAATGAAATTTTCTATCCAAAATCTCCCCAAATTTGGAGAGAAAATTCCATTTCCAAATTTATTCACTAATTTTTTTATTGCCCCAAATTTGGAGACAAAAGTTGGAAGTAAAAATATGTGGATCCTATATATTATTTTTCTCTCACTTTTCTTTTCATAATCAAGCAAAAAAAAATGTTTTTTCCTAACTTTTCCCTCCCACTTTTCTCTCTCCCTCACTTTTTTCCCCCCCTTAAAGCGTAACATAAAACTTTATTTAAGAGTATGGAGTGTGCGAATTGGAAGTCAAGAAGAGAGGGTTTGTGAATTGTGAGTGTAAAGTGAATGTTAATTTCATTTTGTTAATAATAATACAAAAATTCAAGTATTTCAGTCAAGCTTATTTGGATTCAATCTTGACTTGGGTTCAAAAAAAAAAATTTAAATTCTCAAGTTTTGTTCCAAAATTTTTTGAGCTTAACCCAAATTATCAATCCTAACAAGAGATACGAACAGGATTTCTTGTTGTGCCTTTCAATTCCAATATTTTTTCTTTGATTTCAACTTGAACCCAATGTGATAGGGTTTGGCCCTTTGGCTGGCACATAATGTCCTATTTGACGAGACTAATTTTCTTCAGTGGATCCCCAGACAAATTGGTTAATCATCCTCATCATTTTATCAAGCAGCCAAGTAGGAATCTTTACATATTGCATGCTACTTCCTCAATTTTTAAATATAAAAAAAACTATCATGTGTTTTTTTCATTTACAGGCAAAACTATAAATTTCAATAAATATTTATCACATTTTCTCCAAATTATCTCTCATAAGGTTAGTGTTCATTTTTATTAGATAAATTTGTTTTAATAATTACAAGGATAGTAGTTTTTAATGAATATGTCCTAAATTGACCTCGTTGAGATCTTAAGCAATATTCCTCTTCAACTTTGTAAAAATAATTTAATATGATTCTTATAGTTAATAACTATTAACTTTGACTTTGACTGTTAGTTAATTAAAAAAATTATAAAAAGAATGTAAAAAATTATATAAAAGGACCAATAACTTTTCGGTAATTTTTTGTAATTTTTTGAATCCTTTTCTACAATTTTCTTAGATCATTTTTTATATTTTTGAAGTTATTTTCTATAATTTTTTGATCAACTAATGATCAAGTTAACTTTTGTTATTATTAAGAGCCATATTGCATTATTTTAAAATATTAAAATAGAATATTACATCAAAAATGAGTTTAGAATCTCACACATTCTCGAACCTATAATTTAAAGGCTATTTGCCATTTAATCTAATTGAGAAATGGGCAAATAAGGGAAATATTAGAATTCCTTATATTTTGGGAAAAATAAAAATTGGTTTTGGCATGACCACAGGAAGGACAAAAAGGCTTCAAGTGTTTCCTAATCATCAACTTAGGCTGGCTGGTGGGAGCCACGCCAAAGAGAATCATATCGTAGAGTCCACTATTTAAACTTGCAAAACATTATTGAACCAAAACAAATGCAAATATATATATATATATATATATATATTATTTTGAATATTCATAACTTTTTTGCTGCCTTATCTTAAACTTGAAAAAAGACTTCTGACCCAAAAAAACAACCTAAAAAAAAGTCTTACTTTATCACCAAAATTTTATTTGAAGCAACACAGGTAGATATCCACAAATGCAACACACACATATCATTTCAGGTTATTTATTCAATACGGCGCGTCTATTTTTTATTTTTAATTATGTATTTATCATCAAAAAAATAATGCAAATGTATTTTTTAATTATGTAATATTATATATATATATATATATATATATATAACAAAAGGTCTCTACAGGCCGTCCATTATTTGCCAGACTCTTTCAGTAGAGATCCTTTGCGGACAAGCAACTCGCGCGTGGGTGAGTGGTTGTCATGTCACTTTTCTTGGAGAAGACTAGCATTTTTAATTAATTGGTTTTTATGACCTATTTTTAAGTTGAACTAAAATTTTATTTTTAATATTTTATATATATAATGAAAGATTTTTCAGTTGTTTCTTTGCTAACAAATTATTGCTTAAATGCAAATAAGTTAATAACATCCTCCAATATTAAAATACTTCCATTCATGTGCTGTGATTAAAATTTTTAAGAAAATTATATTCAAGTGTCACAAAAGAAAGTTTATTGTCAAGAGATTTCATGAATTTTACAAATTCTCTTAAATTTTAAATTCTGCACATTAACAATTTGACTAAGGATATTAACAAAAAAACAACAGTTATTTACAATTTACAAAAGAAAATGACATCTTGTAATAGCAAGTTGTAAATGATCGTTGTCCAATTGTTAACACCCTTAGTGAAATTATCAATACATAAGATTTAAAATTTCAGAGTATTTTATAAAATTTATGAGATCTCTTGGTTATAAACTTCTTTCTATGATATTTGAATGCAATTTTTCCAAATTATAACATTTGAATTGCATTGAGTTGAGTTATAGACATAGGATCTATTCCTTGTAATTTTCATCTACATGCTAACGTGAAATTTCGGTTTTTGGATGAATATGCTCATAAAAGAACATCACCTATTAAAATAAGCAGAGATATTTAAATTCCCCTATGACCATGTGAGTCTTGATTTCTTATTAAAATAATTACAGATTCGAGATATCTATGTCAAATAAATTTTTTTGGTTATCAAACAATTAGAGAATATAGATTTTTTTTTAATTCTCCATTAGGCCATGTGAATCTTTCCTCGATTCCAAGCAAATGGCTATTGGTCACCAAAAAAAACAAACAAGCAACTGATTAGTTTCACTCTTCAGTGCATCATGATTCGTGATTCACGAGATAGAATAATTAGGCACCATGATTCATAAGATAGAATATTTAATGTGATAATATGACTTTTAGTCCCTTATGTTTATTTAGACAAGTTATTAATTCAATCTCTCAAATTTAATTTATATTATTTCAATCATTAACATTTACTTCAATTTTTAAGTTAGTTCTAAATCAAATTAGGTTATTGATATGAAATATACATTGAATTAATTAATATACATAAGCAAAATCTTCTAGTTTCAGCTGCTAATGTGTTATTGATTTTATTATTTTATAATTCTTAATTTAACCTATGTGGCTTTTTGTAATATACGATAGTTTTTTTTTTTTCCTTGAATATCTTGCTTCCTTTTTCTTGTTGTAATAACTTCTTCTTAATGGTAGAGAGTTCACGAAGCGAAACTATGAAGATGAGTAGGAAT